TATTACTAATACCATGCAGTGAGAGGAAACATACCGGGGGTGCCCTGCAAAGCCCCAAAACCAGGTCCCACGGGACCCCACGTGGGTGCTTCTCAAACGTGGCTATTCCCTCCTCTCTGTACTTCCTTACTTCGTACTGGCTGCGGGACCTGCACTCATAGAAGTGTATTCGTCCCAAAGTCCCTCCCCGGTAAACCATCATCTTGCGATCGAGTGGGTTTGTGATGGCGAAAGGGAGGTCGGTACACAACTCTCGGCCGATCCTCCAGGAATACCGTGATAGTGCGGGTACACCCTGGTAAGGGGGTTGTCATGTGTGTGTGGGTGTTCGTGTGGGTAAGGCAAGATGGACGACGAAGGGCCAAGAGGAAGAAACGAAGGAGAAGATGTGGGATGGAGAGCCGGAACACCTGCGACAGGCGAGCCAGTACAAATCGGTGGTAGCGGCGGTGGAATGGATGCTCTCCCCCGCCCGAGCGGGGATCGGCAGCCGGAAAGAAGAAACCGAATGCTGACCATATGGTTCCCTGCACCACCATCCTTCAAATGCACAGAGAGGACGCAGGGATGCCCATGGGAATGTGCGTCATCGCGGTGGTCTGGCTGCAAGCAATCACTAGTCCGACATCTAAAGGAAGCCCACAACAAGAAAATCAACGAATATATGAACATGTGTGCAGGGTGCTATCTGGTACTGACTATCCGGCCAAGCAATCACACGTGCATCCTCAACAGGCAGATGAGGGAGGAGCAAAGGGTTCCCCATTTTCGTTTCCAGTGCGACGTGCAATACTGCCCCTACTCTGCCCCAACAAAGAGAGGATTGAATAACCACAAGGTAGCAACACATGTACGGCAGTGGAGGAGGAGAAACAACCAACGTCAGGCGAAGCAACGACAGGGGAACCAACAGGCTGAAGGCAATCCAACAAGCGCCCAGCCCTCACAGGAAGTTGGGGAAAATAGGGATAACGAGCAGAGGGAGCAGCCACAGAATTACGAGCAACAGCAGCAAAGAGAAACACAAGGGCAACGAGAAAGGCACAGATGGACCCCTCCACCCAGGGATGGAGAAGTGAAAGGACCAGAGACACCACGCCCCGTCTCTGGGAGAAGTACATCAGTGTGACCGCTGAGCCCAGACGATCAAGAAACGCGACTGAGGTCGATAACGCCGAGCCAGCTGCTCCAAAATGAACCCTCACCAAGAGAGGAATCACAGCACCCAGGGGACCTGACACCCCTCTTGCACATGCCAAGAATGCCACTGTCACCTCTAAGCCCCGAGGAACAACATGGTGGAGATAGTACCCAAACAGGGGAACAGATAATGCAAAGTCAAGAAACAAATGAAGGAAGCCAAAGTAATCTCAGTGAATCCCTTACACCACTATCGCAAAGTGAAGCAACTCAAACACTAAATGGTGAAGGCAACATACAGGAGCAGATTGGCATAACTCCTGAACCAAATGAAGAGCGAGATGAAGCTGAGGAGACATGGATACTGGAGCCGTTTCTGGGCACAGTGTATGAGATCCAGCGGAACCCGGACTGGGCAAAATTTGAAGAAGTACTGATTGAGATCGAGGTAGCAATACAAGCGGCAAACAGGATAAACATCTCTCAAGGACAGAACACGACCAGGAAAATCACCGATGTCAATGATTGCAAACAGATCCAGAGGCTGTACAAATACAACCGTCGCCGAGCAATACGGCTAATTGCCGATGGGAACGGCGCAAGATGTGAAATAAGCAAGGAGAGAATAGAGGAACACTTCCAACACATGATGGTTGAAAAGGATTGTGACCTAAATACCGTGGAGCACATTCCCGAACCGCCAGACGACAGACCAGAGATGGAAATGCAGCCCTTCACAGAGAAGGAAGTATTTACAAAACTAGCAGCAGCAGAGAATTCGTCACCAGGTGAAGACAGAATATCATATGAGAACTGGAGAAAGGCTGACCCAAGCTGCCGAGTTATGGCAGCCATATTCAACGTGTGTCTCAGAGCCAAGAGAATACCAGACTCCTGGAAACGATACAGAACAATACTTGTCCCCAAAAAAGGTGGTAACCCAGAAGTCGTTTCAAATTGGAGGCCTATAACACTGAGCCGCACAATATACAAGGTGTACACGGGATGCCTCACAGCACGACTCAGAAGGTGGCTCGTTGACAACGAGGTACTGTGCGCTGCACAGAAAGGATTCATGCCAAGTGATGGGGTGATAGAACACAACTACATACTTCAACATCACATGGACGATGCACGACGGAACAATGGCGATACCTGCATAGCAGCACTCGACTTGACCAATGCATTTGGCTCAGTGTCACTGGACCTCATTAAAAGAGCGCTCAACCGTATAGGGGTGGGACGGGATTTTGAAACAGTAGCAGGAGACATCATCAGTGGCAAGACGACAAGAATCCTAACAAAGGAAGGAGAAACAGAAGAGATACCAGTGCAATGCGGTGTGCAACAGGGGTGCCCAATAAGTGGTCTCTTGTTCAATATAGCGGTCGAACCACTGTTGCGGAAAATCGCGGCCGAAGGAATGATACTGAACCAACAACACAAGCACCCATGCTTAGCATATGCAGACGATATAACCATCATTACAAAACAGCAAGATAATCTACAGCAACTCCTCTACATAGCAACAGAACAATGCAGGAGGATGGGACTGGACCTAAATCCTAGCAAAAGCTCATCATTGCACCTGTCTGGACGAAGACCTCGAGGAGTGCACCAGACACAGTTCTACGTGGGAGAAACGCCCATCCAATGGAAGAGCGATGGCGAAGCAACGCTCTTCTTGGGACGACCAGTTGGGTTCCATCTTCTGCCAAACATCCAAACAGTAGAGGAACTAATGCAACTCGGGACCAAAATACTGACAAGCAAGCTAGCACCGTGGCAGAGAATAGATGCAGTCAAGACATTCATGTTCCCGGCAGGAGTGCATGCAATGAGGACTTGGCAACTGAGGAAAACAGACTGGGCACACCTGGACAACGAAATGAAGACAATGCTTAAACACACGCTACATCTACCGTCAAGAGCGTCGAATGAGTACTTGTACGGAAGCAGTAAAGCTGGAGCGTGTGGTGTCCCACTCGCGGCAGAAGACTCTGACATTTTCCTGGTGGATACCGCATATAAATTACTCACGTCACCGGATCCTGACGTCAGGGAAAAAGCCAGAGAAGAATGCCGGCGAGTTGCAACAATGAGAACACGACAGGAGCCAAGCATGACCGACGCATGCATGTACTTAACACAGGGAGAGATGCAAACGCGAGGAGGAGACCACCAAACCATCTGGTCTAGAGCCAGGTGTGCCTCAGGCCGAATGGGGGTTTCCTGGATAGCAGAGGGAGGAGACAACATCAAGATAAAATGCACGGACTCCATCATTGAAGAAAAAGATAGAAGGAAGGTAGCCAAAACCATCCGGAGCCAGCGACGACAGATGAGAGATGAAGTTCTGCAGAATAAGCCTGACCAAGGGAAAGTGATGAAGCTCGTAGCACAAGAGAGAGCATCATCAGCATTTGTTCGAAATGGAGCGTATACAACCTTCGCAGACTGGCGTTTCATACACCGAGCAAGACTGAACCTACTCCCCGTCAATGGAGCGAAGCGAGGCCAGAATAGGGATCGGAGATGTCGTCGTTGCAATAGAGAAGAAACGCTCACACATGTAGTAAACCACTGCATGATACACTCTCGAGCCATGCAAAAGCGACATAATGCCGTGGTGGATAGAGTACGAAAAGTCGCAGAAGGTCGACATTGGAAGATCATGTCGGCAAATGAACGAGTACCAGGAGCAGCAGACAATGAACGTCCAGACCTGGTGATTGAAAAGAACCGAGAAGTGATCCTGATCGACGTCACCTGCCCATTCGAGAATGGACAAGAGGCATTTAAAGAAGCAAGACTGAGGAAAGAAGAAAAGTATGCAGAACTGGCAGCAGAGATGAGAAAACAAAACCAGCAGGTGAAGGTGGCTGCATTCATAGTGGGACCCCTGGGAGCATACGACCCGGAGAACGAGAAGCTGATGAAGAGACTGGCATCAAAGGGATACCTGCGCCTCTTCAGGAAACTGTGTGTAAGTGATGCCATTCGCTGGTCGAGAATGATTTATATAGAACATACCTCAGGGGCTAGACAGTATGTAGGGTGAAATAAACCCAAAGTCAAGATAGAAGAAAGAATAGGTTCTAGTTAGTGGAATAGGAACACTATGTATAAAATATATTCTTATTTCTCTCTTTTGCTACTTCCATACTTAGTGCTAGTTGCGGGACCTGCTTCTCGGCCTTTTGGCTAAGATCAAAGTGTAGTATATATTCTTATTTCTCTCTTTTGCTACTTCCATACTTAGTACTAGTTGCGGGACCTGCTTCTCGGCCTTTTGGCTAAGATCAAAGTGTAGTATCTGTTCTTATCAGCTTAATGGAGAGTACATAATCAGGTTCTTTTTGCATGGAAGGAAGAACACAGATTTGGACTTTCTGGGGGTGAAAGTAACAGAGTTTACTCCTTTGTTGTTTTAGGCGGCGAGCAGGGAACCCGGTATTTCTCCATTGCTGTGGTTATTACTAATACCATGCAGTGAGAGGAAACATACCGGGGGTGCCCTGCAAAGCCCCAAAACCTGGTCCCACGGGACCCCACGTGGGTGCTTCTCACACGTGGCTATTCCCTCCTCTCTTTACTTCCTTACTTCGTACTGGCTGAGGGACCTGCACTCATAGAAGTGTATTCGTCCCAAATTCCATCCCCGGTAAACCATCACCTTGCGATCGAGTGGGTTTGTGATGGCGAAAGGGAGGTCGGTACACAACTCTCGGCCGATCCTCCAGGAATACCGTGATAGTGCGGGTACACCCTGGTAAGGGGGTTGTCATGTGTGTGTGGGTGTTCGTGTGGGTAAGGCAAGATGGACGACGAAGGGCCAAGAGGAAGAAACGAAGGACAAGATGTGGGATGGAGAGCCGGAACACCTGCGACAGGCGAGCCAGTACAATTCGGTGGGAGCGGCGGAGACTCTGACTCAACGGACGGCGGGGGAATGGATGCTCTCCCCCGCCCGAGCGGGGATCGGCAGCCGGAAAGAAGAAACCGAATGCTGACCATATGGTTCCCTGCACCACCATCCTTCAAATGCACAGAGAGGACGCAGGGATGCCCATGGGAATGTGCATCATCGGGGTGGTCTGGCTGCAAGCAATCACTAGTCCGACATCTAAAGGAAGCCCACAACAAGAAAATCAACGAATATATGAACATGTGTGAGGGTGCTATCTGGTACTGACTATCCGGCCAAGCAATCACACGTGCATCCTCAACAGGCAGATGAGGGAGGAGCAAAGGGATCCCCATTTTCGTTTCCAGTGCGACGTGCAATACTGCCACTACTCTGCCCCAACAAAGAGAGGAGTGAACAACCACAAGGCAGCAACACATGTACGGCAGCGGAGGAGGAGAGACAACCAACGTCAGGCGGAGCAACGACAGGGGAACCAACAGCCTGAAGGCAATCCAGCAAGCGCCCAGCCCACACAGGAAGTTAGGGAAAATAGGGATAACGAGCAGAGGGAGCAGCAACAGAATGACGAGCAACAGCAGCAAAGAGAAACACAAGGGCAACGAAAAAGGCACAGATGGACACCCCCACCCAGGGATGGAGAAGTGGAAGGACCAGAGACACCACGCCCCGTCTCAGGGAGAAGTACACCAGTGTCACCGCTGAGCCCAGACGATCAAGAAACGCGACTGAGGTCTATAACGCCGAGCCAGCTGCTCCAAAATGAACCTTCACCAGGAGAGGAATCACAGCACGCAGGGGACCTGACACCCCTCTTGCACATTCCAAGAATGCCACTGTCACCTCTAAGCCCTGATGAACAACATGGGGGAGACAGTACCCAAACAGGGGAACAGATAATGCAAAGTCAAGAAACAAATGAAGGAAGCCAAAGTAATCTCAGTGAATCCCTTACACCACTATCGCAAAGTGAAGCAACCCAAACACTAAGTGGTGAAGGCAACATACAGGAGCATATTGGCATAACTCCTGAACCAAATGAAGAGCGAGATGAAGCTGAGGGGACATGGATACTGGACCCGTTTCTGGGCACACTGTATGAGATCCAGCGGAACCCGGACTGGGCAAGATTTGAAGATGTACTGATTGAGATCGAGGTAGCAATCCAAGCTGCAAACAGGATAAACATCTCTCAAGGACAGAACACGACCAGGAAAATCTCCGATGTCAATGATTGCAAACAGATCCAGAGGCTGTACAAATACAACCGTCGCCGAGCAATACGGCTAATTGTCGAAGGGAACGGCGCAAGATGTGAAATAAGCAAGGAGAGAATAGAGGAACACTTCCAACACATGATGGTCGAAAAGGAATGTGACCTAAATACCGTGGAGCACATTCCCGAACCGCCAGACGACAGACCAGAGATGGAAATGCAGCCCTTCACAGAGAAGGAAGTATTTACAAAACTAGCAGCAGCAGAGAATTCGTCACCAGGTGAAGACAGAATATCATATGATAACTGGAGAAAGGCTGACCCAAGCTGCCGAGTTATGGCAGCCATATTCAACGTGTGTCTAAGAGCCAAGAGAATACCAGACTCCTGGAAACGATACAGAACAATACTTGTACCCAAAAAAGGTGGTAACCCAGAAGTCGTTTCAAATTGGAGGCCTATAACACTGAGCCGCACAATATACAAGGTGTACACGGGATGCCTCACAGCACGACTCAGAAGATGGCTCGTTGACAACGAGGTACTGTGCGCTGCACAGAAAGGATTCATGCCAAGTGATGGGGTGATAAAACACAACTACATACTTCAACATCACATGGACGATGCACGACGGAACAATGGCGACACCTGCATAGCAGCACTCGACTTGACCAATGCATTTGGCTCAGTGTCACTGGACCTCATTAAAAGAGCGCTCAACCGTATAGTGGTGGGACGAGATTTTGAAACAGTAGCAGGAGACATCATCAGTGGCAAGACGACAATAATCCTAACAAAGGAAGGAGAAACAGAAGAGATACCAGTGCAATGCGGTGTGCAACAGGGGTGCCCAATAAGTGGTCTCCTGTTCAATATAGCGGTCGAACCACTGTTGCGGAAAATCGCGGCCGAAGGAATGATACTGAACCAACAACACAAGCACCCATGCTTAGCATATGCAGACGATATAACCATCATTACAAAACAGCAAGATAATCTACAGCAACTCCTCTACATAGCAACAGAACAATGCAGTAGGATGGGACTGGACCTAAATCCTAGCAAAAGCTCATCATTGCACCTGTCCGGACGAAGACCTCGAGGAATGCGCCAGACACAGTTCTACGTTGGAGAAACGCCCATTCAATGGAAGAGCGATGGCGAAGCAACGCTCTTCTTGGGACGACCAGTTGGGTTCCATCTTCTGCCAAACATCCAAACAGTAGAGGAACTAATGCAACTCGGGACCAAAATACTGACAAGCAAGCTAGCACCGTGGCAGAGAATAGATGCAGTCAAGACATTCATGTTCCCGGCAGGAGTGCATGCAATGAGGACTTGGCAACTGAGGAAAACAGACTGGGCACACCTGGACAACGAAATGAAGACAATGTTAAACACACGCTACATCTACCGTCAAGAGCGTCGAATGAGTACTTGTACGGAAGCAGTAAAGCTGGAGCGTGTGGTGTCCCACTCGCGGCAGAAGACTCTGACATTTTCCTGGTGGATACCGCATATAAATTACTCACGTCACCGGATCCTGACGTCAGGGAAATAGCCAGAGAAGAATGCCGGCGAGTGGCAACAATGAGAACACGACAGGAGCCAAGCATGACCGACGCATGCATGTACTTAACACAGGGAGAGATGCAAACGCGAGGAGGAGACCACCAAACCATCTGGTCTAGAGCCAGGTGTGCCTCAGGCCGAATGGGGGTTTCCTGGATAGCAGAGGGAGGAGACAACATCAAGATAAAATGCACGGACTCCATCATTGAAGAAAAAGATAGAAGGAAGGTAGCCAAAACCATCCGGAGCCAGCGACGACAGATGAGAGATGAAGTTCTGCAGAATAAGCCTGACCAAGGGAAAGTGATGAAGCTCGTAGCACAAGAGAGAGCATCATCAGCTTTTGTTCGAAATGGAGCGTATACAACCTTCGCAGACTGGCGTTTCATACACCGAGCAAGACTGAACCTACTCCCCGTCAATGGAGCGAAGCGAGGCCAGAATAGGGATCGGAGATGTCGTCGGTGCAATAGAGAAGAAACGCTCCCACATGTAGTAAACCACTGCATGATACACTCTCGAGCCATGCAAAAGCGACATAATGCCCTGGTGGATAGAGTACGAAAAGCCGCAGAAGGTCGACATTGGAAGATCATGTCGGCAAATGAACGAGTACCAGGAGCAGCAGACAATGGACGTCCAGACCTGGTGATTGAAAAGAACCGAGAAGTGATCCTGATCGACGTCACCTGCCCATTCGAGAATGGACAAGAGGCATTTAAAGAAGCAAGACTGAGGAAAGAAGAAAAGTATGCAGAACTGGCAGCAGAGATGAGAAGACAATACCAGCAGGTGAAGGTGGCTACATTCATAGTGGGACCCCTGGGAGCATACGACCCGGAGAACGAGAAGCTGATGAAGAGACTGGCATCAAAGGGATACCTGCGCCTCTTCAGGAAACTGTGTGTAAGTGATGCCATTCGCTGGTCGAGAATGATTTATATAGAACATACCTCAGGGGCTAGACAGTATGTAGGGTGAAATAAACCCAAAGTCAAGATAGAAGAAAGAATAGGTTCTAGTTAGTGGAATAGGAACACTATGTATAAAATGTAATAGATAGTCAGCCAATTGTCACAAATGACTGGAATACCCAAACTATTGTAAATAAAAAACAATGTATCATTCTTTTAAATAAAATCTGTTCTTATCAGCTTAATGGAGAGTACATAATCAGGTTCTTTTTGCATGGAAGGAAGAACACAGATTTGGACTTTCTGGGGGTGAAAGTAACAGAGTTTACTCCTTTGTTGTTTTAGGCGGCGAGCAGGGAACCCGGTATTTCTCCATTGCTGTGGTTATTACTAATACCATGCAGTGAGAGGAAACATACCGGGGATGCCCTGAAAAGCCCCAAAACCTGGTCCCACGGGACCCCACGTGGGTGCTTCTCACACGTGGCTATTCCCTCCTCTCTGTACTTCCTTACTTCGTACTGGCTGAGGGACCTGCACTCATAGAAGTGTATTCGTCCCAAAGTCCCTCCCCGGTAAACCATCACCTTGCGATCGAGTGGGTTTGTGATGGCGAAAGGGAGGTCGGTACACAACTCTCGGCCGATCCTCCAGGAATACCGTGATAGTGCGGGTACACCCTTGGTAAGGGGGTTGTCATGTGTGTGTGGGTGTTCGTGTGGGTAAGGCAAGATGGACGACGAAGGGCCAAGAGGAAGAAACGAAGGAGAAGATGTGGGATGGAGAGCCGGAACACCTGCGACAGGCGAGCCAGTACAAATCGGTGGGAGCGGCGGAGACTCTGACTCAACGGACGGCGGGGGAATGGATGCTCTCCCCCGCCCGAGCGGGGATCGGCAGCCGGAAAGAAGAAACCGAATACTGACCATATGGTTCCCTGCACCACCATCCTTCAAATGCACAGAGAGGACGCAGGGATGCCCATGGGAATGAGCATCATCGGGGTGGTCTGGCTGCAAGCAATCATTAGTCCGACATCTAAAGGAAGCCCACAACAAGAAAATCAACGAATATATGAACATGTGTGCAGGGTGCTATCTGGTACTGACTATCCGGCCAAGCAATCACACGTGCATCCTCAACAGGCAGATGAGGGAGGAGCAAAGGGATCCCCATTTTCGTTTCCAGTGCGACGTGCAATACTGCTACTACTCTGCCCCAACAAAGAGAGGAGTGAACAACCACAAGGCAGCAACACATGTACGGCAGCGGAGGAGGAGAGACAACCAACGTCAGGCGGAGCAACGACAGGGGAACCAACAGCCTGAAGGCAATCCAGCAAGCGCCCAGCCCACACAGGAAGTTGGGGAAAATAGGGATAACGAGCAGAGGGAGCAGCCACAGAATGACGAGCAACAGCAGCAAAGAGAAACACAAGGGCAACGAGAAAGGCACAGATGGACCCCCCCACCCAGGGATGGAGAAGTGGAAGGACCAGAGACACCACGCCCCGTCTCAGGGAGAAGTACACCAGTGTCACCGCTGAGCCCAGACGATCAAAAACGCGATTGAGGTCTATAACGCCGAGCCAGCTGCTCCAAAATGAACCCTCACCAAGAGAAGAATCCCAGCACCCATGGGACCTGACACCCCTCTTGCACATTCCAAGAATGCCACTGTCACCTCTAAGCCCTGATGAACAACATGGGGGAGACAGTACCCAAACAGGGGAACAGATAATGCAAAGTCAAGAAACAAATGAAGGAAGCCAAAGTAATCGCAGTGAATCCCCTACACCACTATCGCAAAGTGAAGCAACCCAAACACTAAGTGGTGAAGGCAACATACAGGATACGATACGAAGTCTTTAGTTAAGAGGTGAAAGAAGATTATTAGGAGTTGAAGGAAAAGTGGTGAAACTGAAATAGAGTAGGAGTAGAAAGAATCTGGGCTCAACCAGATCGCTTCATCTTTCTTATTGGTGTTTTGTCTTTGTTCTGCTCCCTTGGGTCGTCAGACCTTTGTATTAATATTGGTTTATTTATATAATGCTGCTTACTATTATTATTTGTTATTGTTGGAGTTAGTGAGCCCGCCCAGGTCCTTGTGTAACTGGGAGGGTAGTCACATTTTTTTTTTTTGAGGTGTTAGTTAAGTGTTAGTTGTGTTAGTCTAAAGGTACACTGTATGGAGAGGCCTGCCAGGTTCTTAGTGGAGCTGGTTGGTCACTCTCATCTTTATTCCTCTAGTAATGTTTTATGTAAAAATGTGTATGTTGAGGCAGGAGGTGGTTCAATTACTTCTTCCTGGCTGATATAGCTGGGAGGGTAATCACATTATTATTATTAATATTATTAATATTTATTTATTTATTTATTTATTTATTTATTTATTTATTTTTTTTTGAGTTAGTGAGCCCGCCCAGGTCCTTGTGTAGCTGGGAGGGTAGTCACAT